GGTTTTTCCTGGATGCTTTCCTTCAGATGTGGACCCTTTGCCACTTCTTAGGTTACTGACCCAGTCTGTACAACTTAGCAAGGCCTTGTCTCAAAACAAGAAATAAAAGGGGAGCGGGGAATGCAGGGCTGCACCCTAGATTCAGTGCCTGGCCACAAAGACATGCTTTGTGAGAACCTACGATGCCTTCTCTTTTCTTAATGGAGAATTATTTAACAGCAGTTTTTTTTTCTTTCCCCTCAAAACTCTGTTATTCAATCACAGGTTAGAAGCAAACAGACTAGTTGACTGGGTTAATAATCAACATTCTCCACGCCCATCCAATAGGATGTTTACTCACGTGCCTGGCACCCTTTTGTCGCAAAACCATACAGTGAACAGGATAGGTATTGGCCTCTTTGGTCTCCCACAATGAAAGTGATGTTGATTACCCAACCTCTTAGCGCCGCGATTGGTGGCTGTGGTCAGGGACCTCTAAGATTAGCCTAGTAACATCCTAGTAAGACTCAAAAAACAGCTTCATTGGGTGGAAGGTGGCGTACACAAGGTGGACCTAATAGTTAATGTATTATTAAATGCATGTAGCACTAAGAAAGACTGGTGTCTTCATAGCCCAGTTTTGTAAGTCTTGTTTTGAAAGACATATTCCCCTCCCAGCATGCTCACCATTTCACTGAACAGGTTACATGGTTTATATATATATGTTTCACTTCATGTGGCTTTTCAAAATCTTCTGCCCAATGTTCGTAGTTGGAGGAAATAATCACTTTTCAGGAAATCACACAGTCTCAGGCCATTTTGAGTCAAACTCTAGGGCAGAAGAAGGGAAAAATGGTTAGAAAACCTTGACTTGATAGTCTTGTGGGTCCTTCAGATAAAACCGGCAAGGCTGCTGCCTGCTCCTTGAGGCCAAGGAGGAGAAACCTCTGCATCTCTCCTGGGAAGCCTGGCCTCGAATATTTATGTGTCTACAAATGTCATTTCACTGTGTGGCCCTTCAGCCCTTTGTGGGCTGGGTGGGGGCAGAGCATAAATGGTCTGCCGCACCGTGTGCAAAAACACGGGCAGAATTCTTTGCAATCAAGAAAACGCATACAGAGGTTTATTAGCACCAGTGTGAACTCGTGTGATTTTTGCCCTCCTTACCACAAATATCATAAAGCAGCGTGACGTCGTCCGCCACCAAGTTTGCAAGAAGGTCTCTCCACGACACACTATTGCTCCTTCAGAACTCAAGTTTTGGTTTTGTTTTTTTTCGAGACAGGGTTTCCCTGTAGCTTTGGAGCCTGTCCTGGAACTAGCTCCAGGCTGGCCTCAAACTCACAGAGATCCGCCTGCCTCTGCCTCCCGAGTGCTGGGATTAAAGGTATGCGCCACCACCGCCTGACCCAAGCTCTGTTTTTCACTAAGCTCCTTGTAGTTCGCATCCTTGCCTATACCAAGCCATCCTCGCACTAACCACCAAGAATTAGCTTTGGGCACCATGCTGTTCTCCTTTTCTAAAATCCCTTCACATACGCCCAAGGGTATGAACGTGTTGTGGAGCCAACTTCTAAGGACCGTATGCAAACTATATCGTAGGGATTGCATTGGCAAGCTTTCCGAGCAATGACAGAGTTCCACATGAAGGAGAGAAAAGTCAAGGCAAAAGTGGGTGCAATTTTTTGATATGTATAACAAAAGATAGTTATGTATATTATATATATAAATTCCACCCCCTCCCTCCCTCCCATCAGTTTGCTGCTGGAAACACTCGCATATTTAAGCCAGCTTGGTGTATCCTTGGTTGTCTTCCTCAAGTAGCTGTGTGAAAAACAGCATGTGTTCAGGATTCAAGGGCTTTAGCAAGAACTGCCCATAAACACGTCACTGCAAACCTACATCCCCAAGGACCATCCTAAACAGGGATCCTTCTTTGACCAGAGTGCCACTGTTTGACTGTCTTACCCCACCAACCGGCCCCTAATAGGATGTGTGCTATTCCTAGACACAGCATTTTAATCTATTTAGTACTTCAAGGCTGCCATGGGGAGTTACAGTCCTTAAAATCCCTTGGGCCATGGGTTGCAGGTGTGAAGCCATCCTTAACGTTCACATCTTGGGATACAAGCTGTGGTCCACAGCCCACAGCCACGTCTGCTATGAGAACTGAGCCCGAGGGTTGATGGGAATTTCTCTGTGGTGGTGATAGTCTTCCTTTGGGGGACCTCAGAGACGGCTGCTTATCCCAGAATTCCCTTGTTCTGATCTTTGCGAGGCACAGGGTCCATGGGTGAGGCCTAGTGAGAGTAGGACCAAGGTCGCTTTTCCAAGCGGATCTCTCGGCAGGAGGGCAGCCACACACAGACCAGCAGAGAGAGGAGAACAGAAGCCGGTGGAGTTGGGAAGGGCCACCCTCTGCCAGTGTCACCCCCATTGATGCCTTGGCCTTGTTTTGGAGGGAGGCCAGCAGAGGCTGTGCCAAGAAAGAAGCTCTCCGCCGAGCCTTTGAGAAGCCCACCGTGCTGAACACATGACAGCCACATTGCCACCCCACAGTTAACGGGGTGAGACTTCCCACCCTGACCTCCTCGTTAAATTCCCAGTCTTAATTGATAGTTACCAGTAAAAGAATTTCAAGGTCAGAGGAAAGATACATAAATAAAACTGCTCCCCGTGTTATGTTAAGAAAGGCTAAGGAAAAGAAACAAGGGGCCGTAGTTTGGGGCTGAGTTGTGTCTAAGGGATTTCATTATCAGGATTTCCAGGCGCTCATATCAAACAAGGCTCCTGGGAATGTCCGATAAAACCGTCCACATCCCATGTAGTGCAAGGTCTCGATAAGTTTGTGGCCTGAGAAATGCTGTTTTCATCCCAATCCTCAAGCTGATAGAAATAGAAAAGCCATAGCTCAACGTGGGGTGGGGGGTTCTGCTCACTATGAGAGGGTCGAGTAAAAATGCTGTGGCCTCTTCCAAGGGAACAACCTAACGTGAGCCCACACCTCATGTTCTGAGAAGTGAGTCCTTTGGAGAGGACAAAGAGGGTGTCTGCCAAACAGTTTAGTGACTTTCTGGAATTTAAATATTAAGTGAAAAACCAGGGTCACAGGGCAGCTGATCCCCGGCTCGCCTCTCTCCCATCGGCCCGTGACTTTGATCATGCTACATCCTCCTTCCTAACCAGGACTCCACAGAGAACCTCGGGGTCGTGGCCTGTTGCCTTGTCAAGATGTGAAGCCCTCAGTTTGGCGGCCTGGGAGAAGGGAGGTAGCTTCATGCGTTCCACATTTCCCACAAAACCAAAAGCAGACTAAACAAAGCCGGTGTGAACTCCCGTGACTCGATGCTGCCGTGATTCTAAGTCTTTACGCTGCAATCCTTTCATTTGCATGTGTGTTATTCCCTGGATTTACAGATCTCTCAGCCTTTGGGGGGGAAAGAGAAGGTTTGAACCTTTTCTTGACTTCTAGGAAGTGGTGGGCTGTGGGGAAGGAAAAAAACAGGGTGGAAGCTCCATGGCCGTGTGTGTGTGTGTTGTGTGTGTGTGTGTGTTGTGTGTGTGTGTGTGCGCGCGCGCGTGCGCGTGCATTCAAGGGCGGGCACGAGCAGCTAGCCCAGCCGACTTCTCCCTACCGTTTGCTACTTTTGCGAAGAAGCCGCTTCACACATGGTAACATTTAGGAAGCCCTTCACAGCTGAAGTGTTTCAGACACTAATGAATGGAAGTTTGGTCCTGTAGCACAGACAGACTCTCAGGCATGTTTTACTGAGTGGTATTCTGTAGTGACCTGGTAGAGGAAGAGAAGTATAAATTGTGTCAGTTAGCCACCCAGACAAAAGGAAGCCATGTGGAAAACCAAATCTATTAAAGTATGAAGGCTGGATAAGCTGTTGTAAGCTGGCCATTCTCACAGGGGCTCCATTGGCTGCCGGAGTAAATGTTTACCTCTCTCCCAGATCTTTTTCACAGGCTGCCTTTGGAGACAACCAGCAGAGTTTGATAAAAATCAACCCCCCTCTAATGACACTTTTATCGGAGCTGTTTATTGTCTCCGCTTTACCACCCATGTCCTGAAAGGTAGTGCAGGTTTGTTAAGTAAGCAAAAGTTAAAAGGACTTTGTAGCTCACACCAGCTTGCAGAACCCCAACAAATTCCAGAGCCACACGGAATGAAGAAAAAAAAAAGAGAGGGGGGAGGGGGGAAGGAATTGAATTTATATGGAGGAGAGGCTCTGAAAAAAAAACATATATATTAGGTTTTCCCTGCTTGGCTGGCCCACCATTAAATGTTTGCCTGATGTTGACGGATTTAGTATCGAGATTGAGCAGTAATGTCAAACTTTGCTCGTCGTCTCTAAATGGGCTTTAATAAATGGAAGAATTAGGAAATAGCTCTCAGAGGCAGTGCACTCAGAGTGCCTCTGCTCTTGCTCTCCCACCGATTCGGCAAAGCCCTACACCAACCAGCACAACTGTAGTTATGACCCAAACCTGTCCCTACTTGCTTGCCTTGGAACCTGGGTATGTCGCTTTTCTACATCCTGGGCTTTCCTGTCTGTGAAAGTGAATCTCGCAAACACCAAAAAGAACCAGCTCCCACTGCAGGTATCTGGTGGGTGGGCTCACTTTCCTCAACATTGTTCTTAAGACTAATTGTGCCAATTTTTAAAAACCAAAAACTGGCAAGCTGTTGGGGGGGGGGGATAAATCTCTTCTTTCTTGGTGAGTACGGCTTCTAGGGGATCACACATTATCCAGGGTGCAAGCAATTGAATTTGCTGACCAGCAAAACCATGATGCCTTAAGTCAACAGTGACTAAAGGCAGTCCTGGGAAAAAAGCAACCCCTTGATTCCTCAAAGGCTGGCAGGTCAGGAGCCTGGGAACACAGGGCGGGGAGTGTCACAGCAGTCTCTAGCTGAGCAAGCTCAGCCTTTGCCTGGCGGAGGCAAAGGATGGCACGCGGGGTGAGTGTGGTTCTGGAACAAGGCCTAACCCACCTGCCCTCTTGTGTTGCAGGAGGAAACTGAAGAGACATCCTCGCAAGAGTCTGCCGAGGAGGATTAGGGGGCGCCAACAGCCGATTTCTACCTCAGCATCAGTTGGATCTTGCGAAGGGAGAAGACACTGCAGTGACCACTTACTCTCTACTGCCGCGGTCTTTCCACTCTCTGCGGGACGGGGCGGGGGCGGGATGGGCGAGGGGTGGGGGTGGGGCGGGAGAAATCACATAACCTTGAGAAGGACTATATTAATCACTTTCTTTGTAACCCCTTCACAGTCCCAGGTTTAGTGAAAAACTGCTGTAAACACGGGGGACACAGTTTTAACAATGCAACTTGTAATGACTGTTTTCTCTTTCCTTAACCTACTAATAGTTTGTGGATCTGATAAGCAAGGGTGGGTGGTGGAGAAAAACCTCTGTGTTGGGCTTAATCAGTCACGACATCCAAACCCTAACAGGTCACCCTAGTGACTGGGAGCATTCGTATAAGAAAAGCATTGTATGTGACTTTGTGCAGTCCCCCAAGATACCACCCTACCCCAATCATAGTGAATCTTCCGCTTAGGACACCAAAGATAAGAACTAGATACTACCCTCCTTTGTGTATAATCTTATAGACACTTACTTGATGATTTTTTTTTTACTTTTTAATTCTAAATAAGATAAAATGCCGGTGTATCTTTTCATTCAGCTAGCAAACCAGAGTGGGTGATGCTCATTTTTTCAAAAAGGGAAGTAAACAAATAATAACTGTCGGCTCCCGTGGTTATGGGCTCACACAAGTCAACGGGAGTGACGCACCCACAAGCATTCTTTCCCTCTTAGGGAGACTACACAGCCAAAAGCCACTTAGCAGTAAGCGACACTTGTCAGTGGAGGACACGTGTCACCCTCGAAGCCTCCTAGACAAGTTAAAGTTACCCTTTTTTGGAATTCAATGAGAAAGTACCGTGCCTGATGAACTCACCCAAGTGATGTGGTGAGAAGAGCAAATAGACATTTCTTTTGCTATGTAGTTAAAGGACCATAATTTTGAAAAGCAAAAAAAGCTCTCGCTTGCTCTCCACCTTTCCCTCCCCCTCCCTTGCCTCTCTGTCCTCTCTCTTCTCTCTCGTTCTTCCTTGTGTACAGTTTCCGTGAAAGACCGCAGTGCCATTACCTCAAACGAAGCCTGTGTGTTACTTCAAGTAATCCATTTGTTTTGACACAGACGGCCGGCCGAGGCGCATTGTCTCGGTTCGGTCTGCCGTCTCTGCATTCAAGCTGCACTTTTAGCCAGAGATGCAATGATTCCCCAGTACTCACTACTACCTCTGAATGCTACAGTGACCGTGCAGTCCTGCACTTGTTACCCGCTGCTAGGCGCGAGCCCTGCCAAGACAGAAAAGCACTGACGGGAGCAGGCAGTTCCATCACCCACGGTTCCCCGTCACTCTTGTCAAAGACACACTCTTCCTCTGTCTCAGCGTGGCTATGCATGTTTCTGTGATTTTTTTTTTTAATTAAAATTTTACAAATGCTTGTTGCAGCTTCCCTGCTAGATTGCTACATTAATTTGAAACACTTTTTACCCAAGTCGCTCCTAGTTCTTAAGGATAATTTTCCTCAGTGACACCTCATCGTATCTCTCTCTCTCTCTCTCTTTTCTCTCTCTCTCTCTCTCTCTCTCTCTCTCTCTCTCTCTCTCTCTNCGTAACCGACAGTCCTGGAACTTGATTTGTAGACCAGACTGCCCTTGTCCTTGAATTCAGAGAGGTCGGCTTGCCTCTGCCTCCCTAGTGCTGGGATTAAAGGCCTTCTCCACCACTATTGGAGTTATAGGCGGTTTCTCTCTCCCTCCGTCTCTCTCCCTTTACCCCATCTCTTTTCTCTCTCTCTCTCTCTCTCTCTCTCTCTCTCTCACACACACACACACACACACACACACACACACGGACGCACGCGCATGCACACCCAAGTACACACGTGATTTGTCTGTAGTGTTCAAATATCACTCTACCAGTCTGTACCTCAAACAGAATGTTAAAAGAAGTGGGTGAATTGACTTGCAAGGACCTACCTCCAACTTCAAAAGAAACAGCATTCTTTCTCTTCCTCCGATGTTTGAAATAGTTCAAACTTCCCCTAGCCCTCGTCAAAACTATTTTTTGTAACATAGACACTTGATAGAAAAGAACATTTTTTACATACTTTTGCAAAAAAAAATGAATGGATAAATCAAGCCAACGTCAAAGAAACTTGAAACTTTGTAGGTGATCTACAAACAGGTCTGCTTGTGCCTAATGCAATCAGAAGATAAAATAGGTTTTGAAGATTAGTTGCCTATAAGAATAATGCTTGACGGATATTTTCATGTATGCTACACAATGTGAGTTTTGTAAAATGTCTCAAGCAGGTTTATTTTGAACGCTTCTTGTGTAGAATTGTTGTACCTTTCTTTCCTCCTAAGTGCGCTGACTTTTCTCACGGTGTTATCCACTGGGCCAGGAAGTAGTTTCCCATGAAGGCTTGTGTCAGTGTGACTCTCAATACGGAAGCCAAATGAAACAAACACACAAAACCGTGTCTCTCTCGTAGCCATTTCAGGGAGGTCATTTCAGAGCCACATACCTTGCTTAGACGGCAGGTCGCTCACTGTGGTGCCTCACGGAAGGAGCTATGGAGAGACTTAAAACTGAACGTGACCATTCACTGCGTATTAAATAAGCAAATCAACAGTGGCTCGTAAAATCCCATCCCCATGTTCTATCTTTAGATGGGTCTCTTAGAAACCTCGTTGGCCAGCTCCTAAAAAACGCAGCAGCTCTTCACGTTGGCCAGGCTCGGCACACCGAGCGATCTGCATCTCTAATGAAGTTACTCTTTATTTTCTGTATGTTGTACAATCAAAACACGCTACTACCTCTAACGTCCCAGTATACCTCATTTTTCATACTGAAAAAAAAAAAGAAAAAAAGGCTTGTGTCCAATGGAACAGTGAGAACATCATAAAATTTTTATATATATAGTTTATTTTTGTGGGAGATAAATTTTATAAGACTGTTTTTTACTGTTGTTGGTCACAGCTAAGTAAGACTGGACATCTGAGTTCTCTGCCATTTCTGCAACTTAGGCACGTTCGCAGGAGAAACGCATCAAGACAGTTAACCGCAGCCGACTCTCCCTTTTCCTGTGTGCGTCCTCTGGCTTCACGCTCTGTCCTCATGTAGAATCGCTGTCTGTGACTGTACTTTGATGCTTGCTTGTGGGAATGCTTCTCTAGTGGATTATCACTGACTTTCTGCACAATAAACATAAGCCTCTGTGGTCCCCATGCGTTTGGATTCCTGTTCTTTGTCGCAGTTCCAATACGTGAATAAGAAAGTTTAATAAACCGGGGCATGATGGGAGATATCCACAGCCCATCCGGTTTACCCTGGAGTGTATGCCATGGAGTGTGATTTAAAATATAGTTCTCTTACACCACCATATGCCCGAACTTACCTGAACTGGCCTGACCTTGAATTCCACAGGAAGCCAGCTGAGGAAGAATGGGTCGGAATAGGCTATACTTCAAAACCACAGTCTCAGGACTAGTGCTTACAAGGTTTGTTTTGAGAAACAGCGGGGGGGGGGGGGGGGGGGGGGGGGGGGGGGGGGGGGGGGGATCAGGGACATGGCTCAGTCAATAAAATGTCTGCCTCTCAAGTATGAGGACCCAAGTTTGGATCCCCTGAACCCACGTAAAAAGCTGGACCATTGGGCTGGAAGGATGGCTCAGCAGTTAAAAGCACTTGCTGCTCTCTTAGGGGGCCTGGATTCAGCTTCCAGAACCCACGTGGTAGCTCACCGCCATCTGTTAACTTCAATTCTAGGGGATCTAATAGTGTTTTCTGGCCTCCTCTGGCTCCAGGCATGCACATGGTACACATACATACATGCAGGAAGACATACACACATAACATTTTAAAAATTAACTTTGAAAAGGCTGAGCACAGTAGTGCACACCGGAAAGGCCAGCCTGAAGGTAGAATTGGGGGCGCAGAGGCAGGCCATTCCGTGGAGCTCACCGACCAGCCCACCTATCCCAGCAGTGAGCTTCAGAACCCTATCTCAAGAAAATAATACTGAGGGTCTGGGGAGATGTTTCAGCAGTTAGCAGACTCAGCTGGCTGCTCTTTTAGAGAAGTGGGATTCAATCTCCAACCCCCACATGGCTGTTTATAATCATCTTTAACTTCAGCTCCAAGAGATTGGGCGCCATTTTCTGGCCTCTTTGGGCACCAGGCATGTAAGTGGCGCACAGATACGCATGCAGACCAAACATAAAATCACTCTTAATGTTGAAATAGAGCAGTAACTAAATAACACAGTGAACAGTGACAGAGAGACCCCTAGTATGCACCTTGGGCCTCTACCTGCATGCACGAGTGCACACACATTTTCACACTTATATACAACACCATATACACACCCACCCACACCAAATAGTAACAAAAGAGAAAGGGAAGTGGAAAATCAACTATCTTTGAGGTGCCTTTTTGAGAAACTTTCGGAGGTTTAGGGACACGGCTAGGAAACAAAAGCAGCTGGGGTCTCCCATGATCGTTCCGTGATTCTATTAAAACCATTAGCAGGTTAACAGACCCAGAATGGCCCCACGATGGTCAAGGTCATCTCTACATTGCATTCTGGGTTTTGTTTGGTTTTGTTTTTTGAAACCTCCAGTTTGTGCTGCAACTGGGATTACTACATTCTCTCTTCATTTAGGGCCTTCAACAGGAAGTCTGTTTCTCAGACGGGGTCCTTCTCTAAGCTAGCTCCTGTTGGGAATTTTAAATCAGACTGATTCATTCTCACAGCTAACATTTATGGGGGTTCCCAGTTGTGATAGGTCCTAGACCAAGAAGTGATGTTTCCAGATGTCCACCATTGGGAGCACTGTGTGGATATAGAAATGGTTTCAGTACAGACCACATGAAGAGAAGGTCAGGCCAACTGGGCAGGGAAGAAGTTGTGAGAGTCCAGAAGCGGAAAGCTATTCTTCCTAGAGAGAATGGTCACCTCTATCCTTACTTGGTTCAGCCCCAAAGAAGAAAGACTACATTTATCATAATCCATGCTTAATCTCATTTTTATTAGAAAAACAATATAACAAGGAACTAGTATTTTTAACAAATAAAGAAAATCACTGGCTGGAAACTAGAGAGTATCAAAGAATACATGGATATCCAGATTAGGATAAATAAGTTATTGAAATAAAATGTTTTAACTGGACGGTGCTGGTACACGCCTTTAATCCTACACTTGGGAAGTAGAGGCAGGTGGATCTCTGAGTTTGAGGCCTGCCTGGTCTATAGAGAAAGTTCTGGGACAGCTAGGGCTGTTTCACAGAGAAAATTTGTCTCGAAAAACAAACAACAATAAAATAAAATAAAATGTTTCCATTCCAGAGGTGAGACTCACTAAATGGTCTGAAGTAGGTATCTTTTACTTAAAGCATTACCTTCACACAATGGAAACACATTCATGGCAGTTTTATTGAGGAAACCTAAGTTTATATATAAATTCAAGGATCGTGTCCTAAAGAAATGAGCCAGTACAGTTGAGTGACAGTGGAGTTCTTATGTGTACTTGATGTTTGGGGCAATGAAGGTAAGTGGACTCTACCCTTGCCCACATTGTCAAGACTACCGATCAAGGGGCAGATTACAAGGAGACTGATGGTGCTCTGTAAACTGGGCGCACCCAGTACTAAGAACAAACTGTCTTCAGCCCAGTCACAAGAATGTAAGGTTCCCACCACAGAGGGCTCCTGGGGCAGCACAATGACTTACAGGCCACATGCCATTCACCTACGAGTGTAGCTATTTGGGGGAGGTCTATTTCTAATAGCACCAAGGGCACTCAACTATTCGGTAAATTCAGACATGGTAGGTGGTTTTAGAAGCACAAGAAAACTAGAAACAGAATAACATCAAGAGCAGAAACTGAGTGGCGCTCCAACCAGGGTGAGCCTAGGATGCAAGCCAGTCCATGATGAAGCTTCATGGAGCTGGGTGAGCAAGAAGAAGCCCGTGTGGAAAGACCAAGGCAAGCCATGCACTGCTTCTCATGGCTCACAGCGTAACTACTCACTAAGACTAGGTAAGGTTATCCTTGAGCACTTACTCTTGATTTTGGAAGTTTGGCCTCAAAGTGGAAAAGAAGCCCTTTAGCCAAGGTCCTTCTGAAATATGATGCTCAAGGGGATGATGACCAATGGCAGAGGTTACACTTCCTGTCTAAGCTAGGAGGGCATGACTGTATCCGTGAGCTCCTGCCTCCATCCGTCCTAAGCAGGCCACGCCTTTGTTGTTCTGCTCTTACCCCACAGCCAATTATGGCCTAGGAGATAAAGCCCCAAATGGGTGTTGCAATTTTGTCTTACTGGTACCTCTGAGCCTGACCCAACACAGTGATGAACTGCTTCCCCCTACCCCTTAGTAACAACTGAGGTGTTGCCTTCTTTAATCAGCTCTCCCAGGGCCCCAGTTCATTCCCACGCCTGTGGCTGAGCCCACATTACCTATTCATCTATCCTCCTTCCTCCTCTGACTTGATCACCGATCTCCTCACTCAGATTTGGTCTGTCCCATGGCTTCACTTGTCTTAGACTAAACATATATTCTTGAAAACATAAAATAGCAATCCTCAAGAATGGTGAA